ACACACACACACACACACACACACACACACACACACACACACACACAGACACACACACAGAGTAAAGGGACAAAAGTAAAACTTTTGTGTCCAGCCCAGCAGCAACCCTGGGCGTGGCAAGGGTCCCTGGCCAGGCATGCCCAGAGCTGTTACTTGGCCCTGCAGGGTCTGGCGGAGCAGCCAGGAGGATGCCTCCTACTTAACCCTCGGCAAGCTGCGGGGAGCTCCAGGGCTGGTGGGGTCTGGAGAAGCTGCCTTGAAGTTGCTTGGACTCTGGGAAAGGCCATCGGGAGCAGGCTCGGGCAGGAAGCCGAGTCCCCGGGGAGCCGGGAGCTGCGGTTCCCGAGCCAGTCACGTCCTGCGCGCGGGGGGCGGGTAGCCTGGGCCGGCGGGTATTTGGGGAAGAGGCCCATTTCGAGGCGCTTCCAGTGGCTCTCTTGCGCAAGTGACTTCAGAGCCCAGTTCTGGGGCTGACTTGTGGGCCCAGTTCTGGGGCAAAGAAAGATGCCTGCCCTTCACATCGAGGATCTGCCGGAAAAGGAAAAGCTGAGGATGGAGGTTGAGCAACTTCGCAAAGAAGTGAAGTTGCAGAGACAACAGGTAAGACAAGGCCGGCTGGCTATTCCAGAATTCCCTCTCAGAAATGTGCCAAGGTCAGGGTTTCCTGATTAAAACTTTTTTTGTTTTGTTTTGTTTTTGTTTTTCTCTTCTGGCAGCTCCTTTTTAAGAGGGCTCTGGTAGAGGCTGGCAGCTACAAGATGATGTAGGGAAATTAACACAAGGTGAAAAGAGCCAGGAACTAATAAAGAATATACGATGAAATGTCATCAAGACAAGGGAGATGTCCCAAACAGCGGAGACAAATAGATGCCTAATAGGCATCTGGCTTCCATTCTGGAAAGGGTGGTGTAGGAGAGAATTTTTCTAAAACCGCATTTTAAAATCTCCCAACCAGCTTTGATTTTGCAAAGACCCTGACTCCACTGGGGACTTTAGAGCAAACTGCCCGAATTTCTGTTACATATTTGAAAATTTTATGCAATTTCAATTTGTCTTTTAAGTGTGCAGATGATTAACATGGGGTTTTCTTTACTTACTTAAAAACAGGTAGTTCCATTTATACTAAAGGGCATATGGTTGCCGACTAAAAAATATTTACAGTCTGGGTGTGGTGGTACATGCCTGTAATTCCCAAGCGCTTAGGAAGTGGAGGCAGGAGGGTCAGGAGTTCCAGACCAGCCAGGCCAGTCAATGAAAAAAAAAGAAGAAGAAGAAGAAGAAGAAGAAGAAGAAGAAGAAGAAGAAGAAGAA